TTACCAGTGACACTGTATTTATTGTCATACCTAGGAAACAGATCTTATCATTCTCACAAGAAAATTAAAGCTGCATTTGCTGTTAAAAAGCAATATTTTCTTGGCCTCCTGCYCTCCAAATGTTACAGTGGCTACCACGACACACACACAGAAGAGAAGAAAGATATAAATCTTCCCATGCCCTGGGGCATTGTATCTATTAATATGCATTTTAAGAAATATCTGTGTAGCTGTATGATTGCAACTTTTGTCCCCAGTGCATTGTAATCCAGGCATGGRTTACTCCTCTTCCATTCTGCAGGAGGTCTTTACATTTCCCTTTTGATACAAGTCCAGTGTGTTGGATTTCTCATCCAATTCTAACTTCAACAAACCATGATACTGGCCATGCTTTATTAAAATAATATTAATTCTCTAACCATATCTGAAAAAGCTTTAGCAGCCACATATTTTAGTCAGAAAATATGCAGAAGAAGACCTTTCCTTTAGTTTCCAGACTGGCAAACTGCTCAGAAAAGCTGTGGCTGTTCACAGCATATAACTTCAACAAACCATAATACTGGCCATGCTTTGTTAAAATAATATTAATTCTCTAACCATATCTGAAAAAGCTTTAGCAGCCACATATTTTAGTCAGAAAATATGCAGAAGAAGACCTGTCCTTTAATTTCCAGACTGGCAAACTGCTCAAAAGCTGTGGCTGTTCACACATAGAACCACATCAGTATCTTCTTGTTCACCCCACAGGACTGCAGGTCATATTCCAAACYTGGGCACAGATTGTGGCTGGCAGAAATTTATTAAAGGTGAAATCAGTCTCCTGGGCTCTCATTAGGTTGTACTTTTCAGGAAATAATGCTTTTGTGAAAACATTCCTCTGTCACCGCTGTAGGAAGCATCAGTTGATTGGCATTAAAGTGTTTGTTAATTTAATTGGTTACCTCACTCCCAAGCACTTCCCAGGAAATGCTGTCTCACATTTAGGGCAGAATGAAGGACAGGAGAACCTTTAGAGCTGCATTTTGCAAATCCTTGGTGCTCAGCAGCCCTACCTGATGGGTTTGTAGGTGGCTGTTCCCTGCTGGCAGTGCAGTGAGGGTGATAAACCAGGAGCTGAGCTGGGACTGGAAAATCCTGACTAGATGAGAGACAAGCCCAGCACCATCCCCACTGTCTGCCACACCATTTAATAGGGCAGATTATTGTCATCTTGTGCTGCTTTACCCTTTGGACACAATCTGTGGCCTTTGCTGGTCCCTCTGCAGTGCGCTAGGTGAGGTTCCTGCCTCAGTGCCTCTGATCTGAGCTGGCAGAGCTGTCTTTTTATTCCCTAAAGGAGTCCTCACATATCAGGAATGTSAACCTAAAAGATAATTTTGTAGTGGGTCATCTTTCAGCTGTGAAGATTTGAAATCATTGTGTGAGACACAGTTTGTTGGATTTCTGTTCCTGTGTGCTGAAGCACTCKATGGCACTTCCTAACAATTACAACTCAAATTTTAAGTGTTCTCTTCAGCTTCCCTATTCTTCTGGCTGGAATTTTGTGTTGTCGTGAGGTATTCTGCAGTCATTTTGGGAGTAAATTCCTAGCATTCTTCCCAATGTACAATTTATGGACCATTAACATGGTTTACAGATCAAAAATGTGGTCAGTTTGTGGAAGGACAATGACAGTTGGTRGAAARTGTCCCTGCCCATGCTGGGGGCATTTCTAACTAGAAAATTTTCAAAGTCCTTCCAAACTAAAGCATTTTGTGACTCCATGATGACAGGAGTTAATTTCTAGGAAARCAACTGTATTTTTTTATGATCTGATAATAAGTTTTTGCCCTGCACTGCAATGTCTTTTAGACAGGCATGCAGGAATCATTACAAAGGTATGAGACAAACATCCTGTTTCTGTGCATGCASTTTGCAAACAAAACCCATCAGGCAAATTTTCTGAAACAGGGGGTTCCCATTCCTGAAAAAAAACCCAAAACCTGACTGGAGTTGTCTTTCTGTATACCCTAGCAGTTAAATTGCAAGCCAGTAGGTTGGCAAACCAAGCCTGTCAAATCCTGACTGGAGCAAGTAATTCCAGGTTTCCCATGGAATGGACAACCACGGGAGATTGCCATGGTGGTTTAAAGCCTCGTTGATGGAGGACCTGATTCAGTGTAAGCATTTGGCTGATGAATACACTGAGCCCCATGGGGGAAGAGTGCAGGTTAAAAATACCCTG